CTTCACAGAAGCAAAGCCCAAACCACACCCACTGCCTGGAGTCCATTCTGACCCACAGCGCCCCTAGAGGACAGAGTGGAACTGCCCACAGGGTCTCTGAGGCTGTCAGTCTTTGCAGGAGCATACTGCCTCCTCTTTCTCCTGGGGAACAACTGGTGGGTTTGAACTGCTGACCTGTCAGTGAGCAGCCAAGTGCTTCCCCGCTGTGCCCGCACAGTTTCTTGACCTAGTGCTGGAAAGCCACATTTCCCGACTTTAACTGAAGAAAGGGAGACAGATGGCTGACGGTAATCCAGTGATTGCACCGGGCCGACTGTTGGCAGGTAGCACCTGTGCCCGGGTTGGTAGGACCTGTGAGGATCAGTAAAGCCACCAGGCACCCAGAGGTCTGGGACTGAGGCTGCGCCCCGCGCTCCTGCCCTGTCTAGGAATCACTCAGGTCAGCGGGTCGTGGGCCGCCGTCACCTGTGGCCCCGTGCCTGCTTCAGATTGTGTTCCAGGTTCAACAAAGCAAAACCATCAAGTGGATTCTGCCTCACAGTGACCCTATAGGACAGAGGAGAACTACCCCACAGGGTCTCCAAGGCTGTCAGTGTTTACAGAAACAGACTGTCCCATCTTTCTCCTGCATAGCAGCTGGTGGGTTCCAGCTGCCAGTCTTTTGAGTTGCAGCTGAGTGCTTTCAGCACTGTGCCATCAGAGCTCCTTCAGGTTGATAGCTGTGTTTAATACTCCCTGCAGTGGTCACTTCTTATGTTGAGCAGTATTTTCCAGATAACAGCAGGGCATTTGGAACAGAGAGAGCTTTGTCTCACACGATTTCACACTCTGCCACCCAGACCAGAGGTGAGAACCAGCTTCCCCTGGACCTTGGGGGACCCAGGAATGGGCTGTCTTTTTGGGGAAGCTGTTGGCTGTAGCCCAGAAATTCCCACAGAGCTTTGTTTCCTTGGACCAGCCATCGCACAGTGGCTGTCACTCACCAGCCCAGCAGCATGGCACCCTGCTTGCCTCTGTGTGGCTAGGGACCCTGTGTTTTCAAATTCAGAAGCCAAACATGGGCAGTGCCCAGGTTGGCCAGCTCCCTCTGTAAGTCAGAGATGGGACGTTGTGTGGAGCAGGCATGTAACTCTTGGGGCAGTTTGTAAACAGCCAGCTCTCCCAGACAGACATGAGTAGAGTGAGCATTTCATGGGCACGTGAGTCACGCTGCCCCCTTCTCTCTCAGAGCTCGCTTGAATGATGTGCTCACTGCATACTTGAAACGCTTTCACCACGAGCGCATCTTACCTGTTTATTAAACAGCCTGAGGTAATCTGGACCTGGCAACGTGATTAGCCTTTCATTTGAATTCCCATAATTAGAAAATAATAAAAGGTAATCTTTTTTAATGAAGTCAATTTGACTAATTTAGCGTGGTCTCCAAGTACTTGGACTGAGTGTGGGTTTGCTGCTTCTGACCGGCTGTTGTAGACTGTGGCCCAGCCTCCTGGGCGCTTCTCTGACGCTGTGACACTCCTGTCCCGGCTTGTGGTGTTGACGGTGCTGACACGGTCCAGGGGAAGGCTGCAGGCTCGGCCTTTTTGGTCAGGCAGCATCAGGCCTCCGCTGCCACTTAAGGACGGGCTCAGGGAGAGGGTATCAGAGTTCCCACCTCTGGCAAGAGTGTGTTGGGCACAGCCATGGGCACAGCTCTTCTCTGTGGCGTGGTACCATGGGGCTGCACGGCCGCTGTTGTGGCCGGTTGGGTCTCAGGATGCCCACTGCAAGCACGTCGTGTGTGCTTTGTACTGGGAACTGTTTTAGAAGTGAGGGAGCCCTGCTTGGCCCTGCTTTGTTGTTGGGTGGGTTGCTTACACCCTGCAGGACTGACGGCCACAGAGAACAGGCCAGAGTGTGTGCTGCAGTTTCCTATTCCAGATACCACATCCACTCAGCGTGACACAGGGCAGTTCAGAAAAGCCACAGCTGACATCCCATACACGGGCCATGTGTGTGTGTGTGCTCGCATGTGCGTGCATGCATGCATGAGTGCATTGTGTGCATGCACGCACATGTGTGTATGTGTGTGCATCGTGCATGATGTGTGTATGCATGTGTGTGCATCTGGTGGGTGTGTGCATGTACATGCATGTGTTGTATGTATACAGGTATGTGAGTGGGGTGGATGTGCACACATATGTGTTGTGTTTGGTGTGTGTTGTGTGTGTGCAAGCAGGCGTTGGTGTGTTTGTGCTTTATCCTTGGAGAGCCAGAAAGCCCGGGGGCTGTTTGTTGTCTCTGTGTTTGGTTGCATCCCGTGGCTTCTTTCTTCCAAAGAGGACATCACAGATGAAGGAGGCCCTTCATCCCTTACACATCACAGCGTCCTTTCTAATTCCAGAAAAGGTGTCCCCTCAAGTGAACAACTGAAGCGTCCCATGGGACACAGCCCTTTCTTCTGTATTCTTAGCCCTGTTCTCTCCCCTCCCCCACAGAGAGCCAGTTTCAGAAGCACCCCAGGGTCCCCTGTCACCTAATCACAAGTCCAGAGGAAGACAAGGATTTTCATGTCCTCACAGCCACACTTCTCTCCCCTCCTTCTCACCGAGCCAATTACCAAGGGCATCTGGGCGTCAGCTCTGAATGTGAGGATGGAGCCAAAGATAGACCTCGTGTTAGCAGGGTGGCCCGACACCCTGGGCCAGGTGGGCATAGGCTGTAACCTTCTGTTAGCTTGGTTCCCTGACACCCGGGTACAGGCAGATGTAATCTGTGACCTCGTGTGAGCGTGGTTGCCCAACACCCCAGGCCAGGTGGGTGTAGGATGCTGGCACAAAGCTCAGGTGGGCAGGGGCTTTCCTCAATGCAAGGGGCGTCCACAAACGTGCTAAATGAATGGATGGTCGTGAAGACAGCAAACTGGTGAGTGGTGAAGAATACATCTGCTTTGCTGAGATCTCCGGCATTTTAAATGCAACGTGCTTGGTAGTTTGTTAAATACTTTGTGCCTAGCAAGGACCATTGGGCTGCTAACCAGAAGGTCGGTGGTTCGAACTCACCAGCTACTCCATGGGAGAAAGATGAGGCAGTCTGCTTCCGTAAAGATTACAGCCTTAGAGACCCTGTGGGCAGTTCCACTCTGTCCTCTAGGGGCGCTGTGGGTCAGAATGGACTCCAGGCAGTGGGTGTGGTTTGGGCTTTG